TTGGCTCTGTGTCCCCAGCCAAATCTCATGTTGAATTGTAATGCCCAATTTTGGGGGAGGAACCTGGTGCAAGGTGATTACATCATGGGGGCAGATTTCCCCCTTGCTGTTCTCATCATAGTGAGTTCTCAGATCTGGTTGTTTAAAAGTGTGTAGCATTTCCCCCTGTGCTCTCTCCTGTTGCCGATGTGAAGATGTGCTTGCTTTTCCTTTTCCTTCCACCATGATTGTAAGTTTTCTGAGGCCTCCCCAGCCATGCTTCCTGTACAGCCTACGGAACTGTGAGCCAATTAAACCTCTTTTCTTTATAAATTACCCAGTCTCCAGTAGTTCTTTAGAGTAATGAAATAACTAATATAATTAGTTCAACTGATTACTACAAAGTGATGAATCACTATAAAATTTAAAAGTATAATACTGTATTTATTTGTCTCCTTTTAATTGTCTACCTCCTCCCTTAATATGTAAACTTCAGGAGAGCTGCAACCTTGTCTATCCTGATCTTATTTATAGCTTTGGCAACTTGCACAAGGCTTGGTATAGAATAGGAACTTCATACATGTTTGCCAATAGAATGAATGAATGAATGCTGGGATAGATTACTCTAAGACAGATCAACCAGAATAATACAGTTTTTTTAAAAGGCCAGAAAAAGGAAAGCTTTAAAGTGGTGTTAGATAGTGTTACAGAGTTCAGGGAGAAGATAGGAATTACAAAAAGACCACTAAACTTTATGTTCAGAAAGGATTTCACATTTAGAAAGCAATTTTAGTAATTGCATTTTTGACTATAAACCGGATCATAAGGAATTAAGAATGAAGTGGGTAATAAAGATATGGTTACAGTAAGACTACCTTGTCTTTTTTTAAATTTGTTAGAAGCAGAAAATGTAATATCTCTGAGGATAGCAAAATCAAGGAAGGGGTTAGCTGGTTGATTTTAGAATGGTAAGAGGAGATGAGAAGTTCACATGTGCTCTATGACCCACTGGCACCAGCTGTGGCATATTTCTGACAAAAAAAAAAGTATCCAATGTAGAAGAATGCATTACAGGTATAGAAAAAAGAGGAATTAAAATAAATTTCTAGAAGAAGAAGGAAGTGAATCACATGTAAAATATCTAGAGTTTAAACTTGAGGAGGCTTTTTTTGTCCCCAGAGCCAAGAGTAAAAATGTGAAAGTCAGAGAGACACACAGAACAAAACTTATGTGCTGCCACTTAAACTTAACCTAGATTACTTAACTAAGAATTATTCTGTACAGGTAGCCAATAAATATTTGTTGAATAAATGGAATAAACAAACACATAACTGGATGCAATGATAGAAATGTATTATGTTTTGCATCTTTACCATAAACATGATCCTCCAGTTTTCTTAAGGTAAATCATTTAAGTGAT